GAGAGGAGATGTGATGAGAGGAGATGAGAGGAGATGAGAGGAGATGAGATGAGAGGAGATGAGATGAGATGAGAGGAGAGGAGATGAGATGTGATGAGAGAAGAGGAGATGAGAGGAGATGAGATGAGAGGAGATGAGATGAGATGAGATGAGAGGAGATGTGATGAGATGAGATGTGATGAGATGAGAGGAGATGAGATGAAGCTGCATTAAACCCTGCAGGGAGGTCAGGTGTTAGAGCAGCATTAAGAGATAAAGCAAACCATAATAACTTAGCTGTTTTATTTGTAGTACATTTAAGAACTAAGTCTAGAGTATATTGATGTGAAACTGTGTATATTTCCAGGTGGTGACGCCGCCATCATCGCCATGAATGGCAGCCAGTCTCAGCCCTGCCCCCCCGTCACAACTGCACACAGCCCTGAAGAAGAGAGAGGAAGAGGAGATCTGAAAAGAAAAGATGAAGAATCAAGTGAGGTTAAAAGCATCAAGCGTCCCCGTCAGGAAGAACCGGAGACAGCGGAGACACATCTGGAGGACAGAGGAGAGAGAAGACAGTCCTTCCTCTCTAAGTCCTGTGAAGATCCACCTCAGCCTGCAGAAGACCGTGTGGAGAGGAGAAGCCCCCCCGACAGCCCAGGACTGTGTCCACAGGTCGCTGACGTCCACAGGACAGGGGCCAAGTGTGTCTCCGGGGGTCCAGCTGACCCTCTGCTCCCCGGGGAGGGCTACCACTGGACAGGGCTGCTCCGGGTGAAGCCGGGCCGGGGGGAGCCCACCCTGTCCCTGTCCTGCAGCGACAAGCTGGCCCGCTGGGGGGTGCTGGGCTTCCAGGGGGCCCTGCTGTCCCTCTACCTGCAGGAGGCTCTCTACTACAGCACCGTGGTGGTGGGGGGGGGTCCGTACAGCCAGGAGGCCATGACCAGAGCTCTGGTCACGAGGTAAGAGGAATGCTGCTGACACATTATAAAAGTCATTGTTAAAGAAATACCTTTAACGGTTGCTGGGAAACATCACTGTGAACACCATCCTCGGCTCTGGGGAAATCACTCCTGTCGTTTATTTAACTCTTCGATACGCACTAATTATGAAACACTGTTACAATCAGACTTGATTGGAAAAAAGAGATCTCAGATATTTATCTCCTTTTTCAACCAGATTAAAGTCTTGTTGACATAAAATCATCCCTGGGGTAAAATCACATGTTCTGAGCCTCAAATTGAATATATTTTCAGGATGCCGTATTTGAAGCTGCATTCATTGATTGATTCTGTCAACTTGTTGGCAGGAAACAGTTAACACTTTGAGAACAGCTGCAACTAATGACAGTCCATTGATCTGTTGATCATTTCCTTTTTTATTGATTCAATTCTAGTTTGGTCTATAAAATGTCAGAAGAAGGGAAAATAGACATTCATAAGAAGCTGGAATCAGAGAATCCAGATCTCATCGATTATCATAAGGTTAGCAACTAAGCAAGCACTTATTTTTTTAAAAGAATGACCTTCAGCTGAGAGCGGTGGAATTAGGTAATGATTCTCTGTGAGCTTACATTAGACATTTGACCCATTATTCATGTAAAACAATATATTAGTGCATCTTAAAATACCAGTGGTGCAACTTTAAATACATTCTACAGTGTTTCTACCATAGCTTAAAATCTATTCCCAAACTTTGGTCACAACTCTTCACCTCACTCTGGCCAGTCTTCATGCCAACAGCAAACACCATAAAGTGATGATGGCTGCATTCTGCCCGCTGGTTCTTTTTATGGAACAAAGGCTTCTTTTCTTCTAATGAGATACAAAACCAAACGGTCTCTAAATGAATCACACATCCTCAGTGGCTGCTCCTCCAGGAAGGAAGACATCTTATTGCCTTCAGTGTGAGGGAGCCAGCAGACTTTCTGACCATACAACTCCCCACCCCCTCCCCCAGGTGTTCCTGTGTGTCGGCCCTTCCAGCAGGGTTCTCTGTCTGCCCCCCCCAGCTGCTCCAGTCCAGCCTGGAGTTCCCCTTCAGCCAGGCCCAGACGGAGCTGCACCACCAGGCAGGACAGGGACGCATCTCCCCCTGTGGAGCAGGTGGGAGACACACACACACACACACACACACACACACACACACACACACACACACACACACACACACACACACACACACACACGCACACACACACGCGCACACACACGTGCGCACACACACACACCAGTGTTTCCCCTATATACAAATAGTGGCGGTGCAGCGCCGCTGCTGAAATATG